AGGAGACTAGGGCTGCCTATGCTATAATTAGATTGTTGTTGTCGTTGTGTGAAATTTAAATTTCTCCTGCGACATTTTGATTGGATACTAAATATAAAATTTGCTGTGGGCGGAAAGCGATCAGGTTAAGTGTCAGTTTAATGATTATCTGCCTGACCTCCTCTTGTGAAACAACGTTGAATGCAAATTGCTCACTCGGGGGGAAAGTTTTTGGGACGAAGTTCGTCTGGTTTAAATCATAATTAAATTCCTCGGCCATTAAATTAATTTTCTTTACAGTATTTTTCCCGATTGAACAAAAATATTTGTTAACAATCCGATCTCGAATCATCTCTTCTAAAAGTTCTCTGTAAGAACAGTCATTCGCTAGCCGCCTTAGTTCCGTGACATATTGGTCTATATTCTCGTTGCTTCGTTGATCTCTCGTATTAAACTTGCAGCGTAGCAACGTGACATTCTGCTTAGGATTACAATAGGCTTCGACCCATCAAATAACGCTTCGATCTTGTCTATTTCAGCACTCTTCAACGCCCAAGTCTTGTTGATATCTCTGCCTTTTTGACCAATGTTACTAACTCTTTTAGCACCTCTGGGAACTGTAATTTATGCAAACGTCCGAGCATGCATAAAATTAATTTCAAATCATACAAAGAAATCGCGTTTGAACTAACAAAATGGCAGAGAATCCTGCAGGTTTTCAAGATCTCGCGTTGGCCTACGCATGCACCAAATTTCTTGAACTTTGATATAGCTTGTGCAAGACAGTCCATATTTTAACTCTCTGCGATTAAATTTTGTTTCTGATGAAAATTTTTTGCGCAAGGCCTTTTTGGGGGTGTTTTAGTAACAGCTTTCCTACTCTAAAAATGCTTTGAATTATTCCTACTTTAAATAATTTTAGTGCTAGATGTACCAGAGAACGTTAAAGTACATAGGCTTACTGAAGGTTTTCGCAAATGTCGCGCGCGTCTGATTTTAGTGGACTTTTTCCAAATATGTAGTTTTTTTATACACCATGCATGTATGCAGCTAAGTCAATTAGGAAAAAGATATATCGATGATCTGTGGTTTGTCTTTGGGTCATGACCTACACACATGCAGGACAACCTTAGTTGACTTAGCTTTTTTATATAGTGTAGATTGTCTTACCTCTAAAATACTTGGTTAGCTATATTGTATTATTATGCCTCATATATACCTTGAACGTATTTCCATATAGATTCTCAAAGCGGGCGATTTGGTGGTTGTCAGAAACATGCGGGATGTGGATAGAAAAAGAGGGAAAATAGATACACGCTGGGCTGGCCTCCATAAGATAACGGCAAACGTTGGAAAAGGAAGATATAGACTGTTAACTACTGTTGAACCAAGAATCTGGGAAACACCTAGCGAAGACGATCAACAGTCCCCGCCTTAAGAAGTATATGCAAAGGAAACCTGACGAGAGATCGACCGAAACGCAAAGAAAGGAGAAAAAGTCATTTCACATGCGCCAAAAGAGGGCAAGTATTCGCAATATAGGATATTGTTAAAAATTGATCAAATTTATGGAGTTTGTGTGTCTTATTGCGTGGTACATAACAATTTATTAGCATTCCGTCAAGTTATATATATACACTATGCTGATAAACTGATAGTAACTGTCCCTCGTAATAAGGCACAAAAACTGCATGACGTAATTTAAATATGACACCTTTTCTATCATGATCAGACCAATGACGAGTGGCTCTCGGTCTAAAGAAAAGTGATCGCAATTATGTTCTCCAAAAAAAGAATGCTGAACGGCAGACTAATAAACGGACCTCAATAGCTGATCAAGAAAATGTTGGCACTGAAGGGTGGCTTCCAGGATCCTCTTCTGTCATATTTATCGTTTGATCGGTGCCCAAGTGAAGGAATCCAAGTCTTCAATACTGGGAAAATTCACTGGTTAGCGTCATCATCTATTGAAGGGCTCCCAGTAAGCGTCTACGATAGCTTATATGACTTGACTGAATCAAGCGATAAATAATTAGCGCAAAGCTATTACAATTGCATCAACTAGACAGGCCAGTTACACATTGAAATGGCTTGAGTCCAGAAGCAGAATGGATCCACCGATTGTGGTCTATTCGCTATTCCAAATTGCGTTTTAAGTAGCAAGTGGAAATAAGTGTTCTTTCACCAGTCAGCAGTGAGAAATCACTTGGTCGATTGCCTGGAAAAGAAAGAAATCTTGTCGTTCCCTCGTGCTCGAAAGACGGCTGCAGTGGCAACAACAATGAAAAACAATACATTGTGCTTGTCAATTGCCAAAATATGGCGACATGGTCCATGCAGAGTAATCTTTGTGACATGCAGTGGCGCCGCCAGCTCGGTAATTG